CAGTGGACGGAGACGGGCCGCGATGGAGGACGTGCTGTAATGTACGGTCTCAGATGTGGATGAGGTTTGAAGTCGAGTGTCACAGAAGCTCTCCATAGCAGACAGAGCGGCGGAGTGTCGAGGAAGCGTTTGACAACAGCCCCTACAAATGGGAAAAGTAGAACGAGCCAGCGAGTGGAAACAGAAGATGTTGGGGGAAACACTCATCAAGGGGAAGTAAGCTGCCCGGCTGACTTCGCCTGCTGTTGTCTGACCAGCTGACTACCCAGCTGACAGAATGATAGCTCCTTTGTAGCACCGCTTTTTGTCTCCGGCTCCACACAAATTAAACGCGAGCTTTTGAAGTGAGCTGATGCGCTCATATGCTCCTCTCTTCTCTCTCCCTATCCTCACATCCCCCTCCTCCTCCTCCTCCTCCTCCTTCCTCCTTCCTTCCACTCGGTTGGCCTGTTTGTCTTTTGAATGCATTCTGCAGACTCAGGCTCCCACAGCAAGATCTGAGCACAGATCCTCAACCTATATACAAGAGAACAGGAACACTCCCTCCGGCATCTGCAAACTTGTCAGCAACACATCCTCGCAGCAGCAGAAACACGGCAACTACTGCTTCCTTGCAGTTTTCTCCTACCAGTCGACACATAACCCATTGTCTCTGCCTTTAATTGTGCTCCGTCAGGCTGCCGGTTAGTCACACAGCAGGCCGGAGTGGCATACCTAAGGGGAGTAAATCGCGTGTTGCTGTACCAGAGATTGACAGCCATATACACGCTCCTAAACAAGCATGCACGAGTTTGTAGAGTGTGTACCGGCGCTCAAAGGAGCAGCCGAAGAGCCCTGTAGTGCCAATTACCCATATAGCTCTAATCTCTTGAGCGACTTGAATGGATGGAGAAGGAGAGGAGGAAGAAGCGAGGGTAGCAGACAAACAGGAGAGGACGTAAAAATGGAAGGGACACAGAGGAAGGCTGGGAAGGTGAAAAATAAGAGTTGAGAACGAGGAAAAGGAATCTGGGTGGGAGATATAGTAGGAGGAGAGCGAGGGCATCTCCCAGCCTCAGCACGGCGTCAGATGCAGTGCCCCCAGTCAAGACACATATCTATCTTTCTAACTTTTATCAGTTAAATGGATACAGCCCTGAGAGCCCCACAGGCGGAACGAGAGACTTCTAACGCCTGACGTCTTTTCCCTCAAGCGTTGTCAAAAGGCAACAAGGGCTCCCTTTAATGTGCTGTATCTGCCTGTCATGTCAGCTGCCTCCATCTCTGTCTTTCTCCTCGGCTTTCTTTTTTTCCTGCCGTTTCATTCTTTAACCTTTCACAACGCGAGCGGTGACTCCAGTTTTTTTTTTTTTTTTCTTTTTCCTCCCTTAACCCAGATCTTCGCCTTCTTCTTCTTCTTTTTTTTTTTCTTCCTACTACTTCTCCTCCCCCTGCTCCCCCCCTGCAGCATGGTAATGTTCTCAGAAATTACAGTGAGGTAAACAGAGCAGGGTGTCGAAATGAAATAACTGCTACGGGGCTGTCAGCTCCGGCGAGGGGGCCATCCGTCAGCAGGAAATGACACGTCGTCCGCCCGCCGCCGCCACCGAACCCCCTTCCTGTCACACACACAGTCAGATTCCTCCTGTCCTCCTGGTGGCAAGGTGAAGGAATTATGCTCATCAAAGCCCCAGCGCAGCCTGGAGCCTTTCCATTAACCTTCCACAACGCTGGTCAATGGCGAGGGGACGGACACAAAGCTTATTGGAAACATGCACACACACATAAAGCATAAAGCGGTATGTACTGTGTGCTTAATGGAACACGTGCATAATTACTCCACGATGGGATATACACAGGTACACACAAGAAGAGCGCGCACACACACACACACACACACACACACACACACCTCAATTACCGTTTCATTGGTAGCCTGACAGCGGAGCGTGTGCAAAGGCTGACATTAAAGGAAATTAAATCTCCTGGTGGAATGGGCCGGCCCATCTCACCTCCCCGTCAAAATACTCCAATTTCCACTCCTCTCCATAACCTTCTCATCTGGGTATTTAGGGCTTTGTGGTGCGGAACGTCATCAAAGAGAAAACTTAGAGAGGCGGCCGTGCGTAGACGAGGCCTCCCCGTGATAATCCCCCCGCCCGCCCGCCGCCCTCCTGCACACGGAGCCCTCCGCTATTAGCCCACGCTCGCAAATTACTGTTTCACATTCTGTCGCGCTCTTTTTGCACCGTCGTCTAGGAGAAAGTGCTTTTCGTTCACACACACACACACACACATGCATAAACTGTCTTATCATTGGCTTAGCCCAATGAGTGAGTCAGTCGGTTAACTCTTTGATCCAGACCTCCCTTCTTGCATTGGAAGCCTGTTTGACATAATCCTGAAAAACATCGGCTCACATAACCAACGAAACTCAAAAGGAAAGCGCAGCTGCAAGGCTACACACACACACACACACACACACACACACACACACAGTGACGGGACTTAGCAGGAGAGTGACACGTGTACAGTAGATTTTTACAGGCAGATTTAATTAAGCCTCATTCACTGCCAAATCCTGTGTTATACAAACTCTTGTGAGCCTTTTCTCACACATTCTAAAGCACCCCGAATGTGACAAACCTGCAGAAGAAGAAGGAGGAGTTTAGTTAGGTAATTGAGTTCCTGGTTAAAGGGGAGAGAAAAAAAAGCAAAAAAAAGCTGTGGTTTCTGGCACCGGCTTCCTCCCAAAGGTTTTAATCAGATCAAACGTGTCCTGTCAGATAAGACAGCTAATTAATCAGGGGAGGGACCAGCCTTCTCCTCTGACAGATGGAGAGATGGAGGCAGGACGCTGGTGGAGGCACTTCCTCTCCTCCTCCTTAACCTCTTCTTCCTCCATCATCAACAGAAAGCAAAACAAGAGCGAGCGAGACAACGCTGCCTGCGGTGATTCACGGAGTCTGTAAAGATTCTCGACGACAGTGTTTACGCAGCCTGCAACTGAAGTATCTCAACAGCCCCCGACTGAGAAGATGACAGACTTCTGCATTGAAGCTGCTGTTTACAGTACTACATATGCGAGTGGAATGTAGAACTGAGAATTTGTGAGGTTTTTTTTGTCCTTTTGAGGTATTTGTTTGAGGCCAAATCAACTCATTTTAAAGTAAAGTACCCCTGTTGTCACACTATAGGCTGCGTGGGGGTTTAGAAAAGAAAAACATACTAAATTTTAGTTACGTACAGCGCGTCTTAATTTTCTCTGAGTTAAAGTCGGTTAGTTGATCTCTGTCCTGCCCTTGGTTTTCTGTCTCTCCCGTCTTGTTGCCAGTTTCTAAAGTTTATGAGACCAGACTTGGCCGATCCACTCTGAGATTAATGGAACATTTTTCTTTAGTAATGATATCATTTCATAATGTTTTTTATGGATGTATGTCTTGCAAAATTGTGATTGTTATTCAGGATAGATTCTGCAGGTTTAGCTGTTATTAGATTGTGGCCCATGAAACAAATTATTGCCTTTTCACACGGTGATGCGTCTTTTAAATGCTTAAAGTATTGATCAGAGAAACTGTTGTTATGAATTTGCATTTAATTAGTTTTACGGCCAATCAGCTGCAAGATTAAAAACACTGATACAGAACAAGACGCGACTCTAGTAATGTGACAAAGAGTGCAAAGGGTTGACCGGGCCTCCAAACTCCCCAGTTCCCAATCCAATCGAGCATCCGCGGGATGTGCCAGAACAAACCCGGTCCAAGGAGGTCCCACCTCAAACCCACAGAACCCAAAGTAACCGCTGCCAACATCCCAGTGCCAGAAACACCCAGAGGTCCCATGTCACTGGTGCTGCTGGTCAGAGCTAATGTTGTGGCTAATAAAGCGCAGTTAAAAATGACAGAATTAAAATTAATTGTTAATTAATTTTCAGTTTAATGTAAGATTCAGTTGACTGGCTTCAAAATAAACCAAAATGTTTAAATAATCAGAACAAGACAGATGTAAAGTGTTTTTAACTAAGCTGACACAGATTTAAATCTGATTTTTTTTTTTTTTTTTTTTTATCTCGTAGCATTCATTCACTCATTATATCACACCGGCCACTAACGACGCCGTCGCTGGCTGTCTGTAATAATGTGTTTGCCCTTGACAGATCCAACTCGTGGTGTTGCCGGCTGCTGCCGCTGAATGAAGTGTGTGGGAAATGCAGATCAGCAACAGATCCGCCTCTGACTGGATGAATAGGTCACATACAGCCTATTGAAATGCTAATGGGGACGTAGCATTCAGCTTCATACAAATGCATAATTAGAAATAAGGACGGCAGAATGTAGTTTCATGCTTAATTTCGAGACTTGAAACATGGATGGATTCGTGGATGGGTGACTTGCATTGTGACTGCCAGGCCCGCTGACTGATTGACTGCTGGGGCTGATTCCAGCTGTTGTGGAGCTCACGGGGCCCTCTGCTACCTCAGGCTCAGCCCACCACCAGCTGTGCAGCCTTACCTAGCTAGCAGTAGCCCCTGGGCACTACACCGAAAACGCTGTTGTACAACACGCAGCTTCTCTCTCCCTCTTTCCCCTGAGCTATAAACTTGACCATTAAAATCTGGTTGAGAGGAAAGCCCCAGAAGACTCCGAGCAAACTCCTGCGAACATGTACAACTTCCAGGATGTTAATACAGACTCGCGCTGTGATAATACTTTTCACTCACACAAATCCATATCGTAGCCGTTTCATTGGCGCACACAGAGCGAGCAGCGCGGTGAATTATTGATGCATCCATATTGCGTTTGAGCAGATGAGTGTGTGGGTATCGATAAGGCCAAATGTCATGTGAGTTTAGCCCGAGTTTGGCTGCACAGTTGGCAGCATTGCAACATGTTTCGTAACCGCTCGCGACACAAAGCTGGTGCATTATTTCGCAGCTCCTACAACTGATGGTGATGCATTATTTCTAATCTTTGGTTTCTCCTCTCTCCTCTTCTTGCCCCTCCTCCATCCTGAACCTGCAGCAACAAGAGCAGGACCCCACCAACCTGTACATCTCCAACCTGCCAGTGTCTATGGACGAGCAGGAGCTGGAGAACATGCTGAAGCCTCTGGGTCACGTCATCTCCACGAGGATACTGAGGGATGCCAACGGGGTCAGCAGAGGAGTCGGCTTCGCCAGGTAAAGAATAGTAATGACGAAGCGAGACACCCTGTGTTTTAGTCTCGATGTGTTGTGTGCTTAAACCTCTAAAAACTCGAAAGCTGCTGCACTCTTTAGCCGCCGTCTTTTTTTATTTTTCCTCACTCCACACTTCTAGTTTGTAATTTAGGCTTTGTAGTAAAGAAAAAAGAAGGTGAGTCTCCAGAGTGAGCTGAGATAACCCTGGTGGCACACAGGTATCACGGGTATTTTTTTTTTTTCAAACTTTCAAACTTTGGAAAGCTCCCTACAGAGCAACAGAAGACACTGTTATCACAAGCTGAGGATTCTTTGCTCAGCTTGGATTTTTCCCATGTTAGCTGTGCACAAATACAAACGCACAGACTGAAGCATGCACCAGATGCACGTAAACAGATGTGTGTCCGTGCACAGGCGTCCAGCGACTGACTTGTGCACCATATGTGCATCGATACACTCACTCGCTCTGAAAAGAAACTTTCTCTGGTTTGTTTCGTCTCCGAGCCAGTGGACGAGTTTGTCTTTGCTCACGCGTGTGCCTCAGTGTGTACACGTCCCTGCTGATGGATGCTTGCGTCTGTGTATTCACAAACACTCTTGGATATTAGCAATTACTGCCTTATCCTCATAGTGTAGTCGCTGCTGCTATATTTCCAAGACCAAGCCTATCACTGAACAGTTTATTTCTTTTTCTACTTAGAAAAGTTTCCACTTCAGCTTGTTAATCCCCCAAAGTCATAAACCGCTCTGTCCTTGTCCTCGACAGCAGCCACCAGGCTCTCATTCCTCTCCACACTTTCCTCCCCTGTTTACCCAGAGGAGGCCACTGACGGCCACAGAACCGCCATCTTGCAGGGATTTTTCTTAATCACCTGCTCTGGCTGAACTCCTCTCCTATTCCCTGCTCTATTACCGTGGGTTACAGCGGGACAGACAAGCACAAACACACACACACACACGAGCAGCCACTTTATGCACAAATATGAGCATATGCACAGACAGACAGGCCTCCGCGCACGCCTACACACCTGTGCGAATGAGCGCGTGCCAGCTCGGCGTGCGCGTGCGGCGACACGCGTCGGAAAGCGGGCGCTCACGTACGCACACAGACAGGTAGGCAGCCTCCTGCAGACCAGCAAGCAGAGCACAGCAACAACCTGCCACAGGCCACCTGTTCAAACAGCCCTCGGTGGGAGGAGGAGCAGACATGATGGAAGGGGGAGAGCGAGAGAGCAGGAGGGAGAGACATGAGTGTGAAACAATGGTTAGGTAGAAAGAACTAATCACAGAGGTTATTATGAGGAGAACGAGAAGGTGATGGGAAAGAGAAGGAGATGAGAGAGAGGACGTCATGAGACAGAATTATTGAGGAATAGAAAGTGAGAAGAGGTGAGAGATGTGGAAAAGGAAAAAAAAAATAAGAGAGGTCTGGCTGTAAAGGAGGACGGTGGTGCAGGTTAGACAGAGAAGCCAAAAACAGAGATCCGGCCTGAGGAGAGAAAAACAAATCAATGTGTTTTATGAATTGTAGAAGTCCCATTAGCTGTGTCAACACACGGACAGACAGACAGACAGACAGACAGACAGCTGCTGAGGGTTGGGCTGTGAGGGGCATTAGAGAGAGTAAACTGAGCTAAGTGTTTGTGGGCCGATCCATTACTGTTATCAGAGCCCATTACTCCAGCCCCAGCACTAATCATTGCAGACAGCAGCACCTGATGCCATTAACCAGCAGCACACACAGAAAAGCCGGCCTGCCTCGCTGTCTACCTGGCTGGCTCTCTGACTGACTGGCCGCCCCAAAAGCCCGACCGACCGACCGACCGACCGACCGACCGACCAACCGACCGACGGCCTGGCTGACCGGGTTGTTTCCACGTGGCCTTATTTACTCCTAGTCCACCTACCCACCGTTATTCTGCTGGAGAGAGATGACAGTGAGGAGGAGGAGGCAAACAATGGACAACCGGGTGGGGCTGCGAGTGGGATGGAGAACCAAGAGAAGCTTGGCGGCAACGCTTCCAGTCAGAGAACCGCTAAAGGGAGAAGGAGAAGGCAGCCACTTTTAAAACGGACAACAAAGACGCCCCGACGAATGGTTTCTAAACAGCTTTTGTTCTGATAATGGAGTTCATAGCCACATAAATGATCATTTCATAAAGACTGCATGAAGGTTGTTGAGCTAGAGTGAAGGGAGGTTAGTTGTGTTTGTGCAGATTGTCTCCGTGTCACTTTGTGGCCTCTTAACTGAAAGCTTTAAGGAGGAGTTACCGGCACGTTTGTGGGTTTAGAGTGAACATGGGCCAGGAGCATGTTATGGATGCATACGTACAGATTATATTCACATAAACACTGTGTAGGTTCAACTTCCTGGTGTTATACTAATACTGATTATTGCCAAATTAAATCAATAATGCATTAAGACAAACACAAACAATACAGTGTGTAATATGTGGAGTTGAACAATTTGGATTTAGGGAGTTTAGAGTCTGGTTTTGTCCACATTTGAAGCTCTAATAATTCCCTATTCATTCACATGATTCTCACACACATGTGCAGGTCGGGACGCTCTCCACCTTTGCTCAGTTATCGCTCCGCTTAAAGATTCTCCGTTTCCACCTCATTTCATAAATACGTTCTAATCCCAGCTTTTATTTATATAAGTGATTATTACAACAGAAGGGCTGCAAACAGGCAAAAAGAAAAAAGAAAAAAAAACAGACCAGGGAAGCTAAACGTCAGAGACACAGAATGGAACACGGTCAGAGATGCAAAATGCAAATTGCAGGATTTCAATACATTAAAGGACCAGTTGATGCAAATTTACCAATAAAAACATAAAAAATGCCACAGCACAGGAGAAAAGAGAGTGAAAGAGACGACGCTGCATAAAAGCAGGTCTATAAAAATGAGTTTTATTCCAAAGAAATATCTGATTCTGCAGCTGATCTCCCCCCAGGTCGCTCATTTCAAGGGTCAGGACCCTAATGGTAAATGCACAGTCACCCTTAAAGTCTCAAACACTAATCATAGCTTTATTTTTTGACTTAATTCATATTTTCCTTGGCATTTGGTTAAGTTTAGACCCCAAAACTCCTTTGTTGCATTTAGAAATTAGTTCAGTTTGGGTTAAAAAGCTCCACTCAGGGTGACTTCCTGCAAGGATCAGGATGGATGCAGCTACTGGACGCCGGTGAGGGAACATCTGTATGAGACTGGTGTGCACTGAAACAGCTGTTTAATGGGAGGATGACGTCCGAATTGGGTGTTCTTGTCGGATATCGTCCTGCTGGGGAAGGCCAAAGGGTACGCTAATGCGATAGTGTTAAAGTAACACCTGAATGTCGGGACTCGAGGTTTGTTTTAACTTCACGTGGTTTTAATGTTATGGCTCATCGCTGTATGTAACATAAAATCAAAGAGTTTAAAACTATAGCTGCCACTTTTTGTTTAGAAAATCTAACCTAATTTCTAGTTGTGTGCTAGTGACGTGTACAAGGCCAGTTTTTATGATTAGCGATCACCTGAGTCACACTGGCTGCTTAGTACCAGCGTTCCCAAACACCCAGGGGACGGAGGGATGAGGGGGGAAAGGGTGGAGACAGGGTCAGTGAGAGATTGATGATGCCAGGAAGTGTGAAAGATTACATATTCTAAAAAGAGAAGTAGGGAGAGGAAAGGGGAGAGAGAGAGATGTTGATGTGGATTGGGCGTAATGTAGAAAGAAAAGGATGGGATGGAGAGGGAAGGAAAAGGAGGGCACGGAAAGTGAGAGAGATGGGGCAAAGAGAGAGAGAGCGAGGGTAACGGTGAAAGATGGAGGAAATAACCAAGGTTGAAAGACGGGGAGGAATGAGAGAGACGTCAAAAAGAAAAGGTGTAGACGGGCCGGGAGTAAGATGGATGGGACAGAGAGAGCGATAAAGAAGCTATGGTAAAAAAAAAAAAAGAGAGAGAAGGATGGAGGTAGCGATGGCAGAAAGGATGAGAGACAGAGGACGGAGAAGTGAGAGGCTGACAGGATGATATGAGTATTTTAGGAGGTGAGGGCGAACAAAGCAGGAGGATCTGGAATGCAATGATTTCTGCACATTCCTGGAGCGTATCACCATGAAGGCACGGCGATCAGTCAAGCCTGCATTTTAAAACAAGTCCTTTGTGCACATCAGGGAACCTGCAATATGTGTACGACGCTGAACGTGCAAATTCATGCACGAGGATATTTGTTTTCAATATGCTGCTTAACACAACTGAACTTTTTTTTTTCTACTGTGCATTGAAAAAAATAAGCAAATCCTCGTCTCTGACTGATGCACTCTGCTGGATGTGTTAAAGCAGCTCAATCAATTAAACTGCACGAATTAAAAGTCTAAATATAGTGAGGAGCTGGAGTTCATATAGGTAGCTAAGCTGCCGTGATGATGATGTGAACAGCGTCGCTTACAGTCTGGCTTTAAATTAAAGGAGAGCAAATGATTCTAAGTCAGAGGAATACTTGGACATTTTGGGAAATGCGATTATTTTCTCTCGCAGCGAGTCGGATGAAGAGATTGATATCATTGTCATGTGTGTCAGTTAAATATGAAGTTACAGCCTGGAGACACTTAAGCAGGATTTATGGTGCGTCTGAACTGGATGGTCAGGTAGCGTCAGAGAGCCTCCGACTCCCCCCGCACGCCTTTTCAATGTCAGGGAAGAGGCGCCTGCGTCAAAACATTGGCTGTAACTTTCCGAAAGCAGCAATTCACAGCGTTCACACCCACTTCACACCACGACGGTCCAGCTGTGTGGAGGTGAAAGAGGAGACAACGGGCATTGTGCCTCCGCCCGTCCTTTTTTTGGTGTGGCATTTGTGTTTGAGTTTTGTGTTGAAGAGACAAGCCTGAAGATGTGCACCAGTATTTTTAAATGATATTCACAATGACAACACATGCTTACTGTGATCAGACAGCAGCTCTGAAGCAGATCCTCAGACCATAAAACAGTCTTGAACTTAGCTCAGCATAAAGACTGGAAACAGTGGAGAACAGCTCATTGCAAAAACTGAAATCTAAGTCAGATGGAATATCTTAGATCGAAGTGATATATGCTGATTTTAAGATAGTTCTTCTCAGTACGCAATTTTCACATAAGACTGTTTCACTTGTTTTAACTATTTTGGTCCTTAAATATCTTAATAAGATAGTTCAGCAGTGATATGCTGGCTTTGTCAGTCATACAAAAAACAAACAGTACAATCAGCTGCCAGCACGTGTGATTAATATATTAAATCTGGGTTTTTGTTTTTTAATGTATACAAAAACTGAAGTGCAAACACCTTGTCTATAGCTCCATGGTTTATTTTTATGCAGATTTTGAAGTATTGCATTTTAAGAAGTTAATGTATATGGAAAGTTCGGGGGGGAAAGTTTAGAAACCTGCTTGAGGTGATTTTTTTTAACTTATCCGAACATTTACCTCGCATGTCTTATCATCTGTGTTCGCTCATTTCATTGTGTTTGACTGCATTAAACATGGCCGATGCCAGCTGACGTAAAATAATAATTATAACATTTCTGACTGAAAACAATTCTGAAGGACTTGTTTCCGTTTTGTTCTCTTGTGGGTGGCCAGTGTTTTGTTTGTCCTTCTTCTTCTTCTTCTTCTTCTTCTGCTGTTTTATGTAAAATAACCCGTACTAGCACCTTCTAATGACCCTAAGCAGACTAGTTTAGTCACTCCATCACCGCTAATGGAAACAAGCCTCCTTTAAATGTACTTTTTAAAGTTTTTTCAAACAATTATATCAACACATGGCTCCTACAAGACTCCAGGACGCCAATGCATAGTCCAATACATTAACACATGCACGCTCAGCAAGGATGAGCAGTATGTCAATAAGCATGTGCATATCTGTGTGGCTAATCTGTCTGTTATAAAGGCTAAAGGTTCTGGGTCGGACTGTAACGTGCTCCAGTCTCCTCACAACGTCGTACGCCTCCTCACAGCAGAAGGATGAAAGACGAGTGTGTGTGCACGCCAACAAAAAGAAGTCCATTTGTTCGGCTCTGTGTTTGATAAACTTACGGTCGTGTTTTGATGTAATGTGTGTGTGACATTAGCGTTTGTGGGCTTATGATGTGAAGGATCAGAGCCCCCCCGCTGGCCGCCTGCTTGGCCTGTACACCGGCTTTGATCCGGCGGCTGGGAAAATGGAGTCAGGCAGCTTCCTGTACTCCGTCTCTCCCCGGCTCCGGATAACACCATCATTACCATCCACGAGCACGTAACTCCTACCTTCTCATACCGTCTTCTGCTTATTGTTCTCTCCCACCCACCCCTCCTGTCCCTCTATCCTTTACCTTCCTATTATGCGCAGAGAAAGGCTGCATAACAAGTCTTTCCCTGAAAGCCCTGAATTTCATTATGAACTTCTGACTCATGCAGACGATGACGTTCCGCAGCAGATCGACAGACTGACTCTGGATAGTCTCAGAGAAGGTTTTTGTTTTTTTTTAAGAAGGGGAGCGCTGACGCTGACCAGGCGGCGGGACGGAGAGCGTTGTGGGTGAACTGTAGTTGTTGTAAATGTGTCATCTGCGGCAGTATTTAACCTCAAGCTGCTCCGTGCGTGAAGGCCTAGATGGAAACGAGCAAAGAGAAAAAAACTGCTCTGTTGTTGGCTGATGATCGTCTTGATGGGTTTTTGTTTGCTGTCATTTTCAACTAAAAACTTCACGTCTCGCTTTCCCGTTGCAGGATGGAGTCTACAGAGAAGTGTGAAGTAGTGATACAGCATTTCAACGGGAAATACCTGAAAACCCCGCCAGGCATTCCAGGTGAGTCTCACCCCTACATTGGCTTTAAGTGGCACCCCTTTTCCTTTCTGTCTTGGGGGAAAAAAATAAATAAATCATCACATTTGTAATAAGAAGCCACCTTTCTAATTCAATCGTGGTAATTCCTCATCTGGGATCTGCCGGACAGCGTGATAGATTGTGTACGCTGTGATGTCTGACACCTGAATCGCTGACGGTTCTGTAGGCCTCTTCCTCTCTTTCCCGCCCTGTCACCATCTCCTCTCTCCCTCCCTGGTGGTGCTCTTGCTGCAGGCTGGAACTTCTCGGGCAGGAGAAAACCCTCTTAATATTCACACTCATGCCTCTGTGCTGTTCTTTGCAATCTACTTAAGAGCTTGCACTCTCCCCTCTTTCCTCTTCTGCTCTCTGTTGCAGTGTCCTCTCTCCTTCCTATCTCTCTCTCTCTCTTATTTTTTTTTTTTTTTTTCTGCAGTCACCCTCGGCTGTGGCCAAGGAGAAAACAGGCAGAGGAAAAAAGAACGAGTGTCACAAAATGGAGACACGTGTAGAGACAAGATTGTGCCTCGTCTTGCGTTAGGAACCGTTCTCCTAGTCGGCGTCCAGAGAGGCAGCTCCGAAAAGTAAAGGGTAGACAAAGCTTTGGAAACGGAGCGAGTCTCCAGGGGAGTCGGGGTGTCGAAAAGTGGCAGCGGAAAAAAAAAAAAAAAGTGAGTCGGAGGGGGGAGTAAAGATATGAAAGAAAGCATCGGTGGGAAAGGCCAGGATGAAGGAAAAAGTGCTGCTTAAGCACTTTTGGGGCCAGGTGCTGCAGCGCTCAGTCTCCTGTGCGTCCCAGCAGGGCTCGCGGGCCAGATAGGGCCGGTACCGAGGGGATCTCCTTCACCGCTGTGGCAATTTTATTAACAACGCTCACACCTCCAACCTCCGACCGGCGGCACAGACACAGACCCATAAATCGCTCTCCACTATCCAGTAATATTTCAGAGAGACTGGATTTAGAATCTCCATATGTGCTCAGCCACTGCATAGCCAGCAGCCATTAAAGGCAAGGTGAGTGGTTATATTGAAGTTGAGCCGTAATAGGAAACCTTTAAAGCTGTAATATCAGGCTGACCTTCCCCTTTAAGGGTCTATCTCCCTGCTGCTCGGGCTTTATTATTGTTAATGGATTGTTCAGGCTTGTGCCAAGCATGGAGATTTACCGCCCTGATCGAGGAAATCCTTCTGTGGAATTAAGAATGGTTAAGTTTACAAGGTCTGCTGTGGTTCGGTGCTGCTCCGGTCCCGTCTGAAGGGTCTGGGAAATCTTCCCTTCACACGACCGGCTGCTGCGAAAGCCGTCGTTGCTCTTGTGTTGTTGCCATTCGAGGTAATCAAGTCCTTCAAGGGATCCTCGTGATTTATTGCAAAGCGGGTTTTACTTTTCGCAATTCTTCGCCGTCATCTCTCTCAGTCATGATAGCGTTGTGCTCGCCAAAGTAATTGCAGAGATGTGATGAAACGCAACAAAGCTCGACGAGGCGAGAAGCAGGAAGACGAGCAGACACGTTATAAACAGGCTGACAGTCTGTCTGCGTTATATGAACCGAGCAAAACTCAAAGTAAGCACCGCGAGTGTCAGTAAAAGAGTTAGCGAGGACTGTTTAGAACCTGCAGAACGGATTAGTCCGGCTCGTTTCCAAGTTGCAGAAAGGAACTTGTCGACTAGAACGGAAGTGCATCTGATGTGAATGATGTCTGAAGCTGATGAAGTCATACCAAATCAAAAGAGTCGATATGAACTGGTTCCAAATCCACATGTTCCCTTCGTAGTAATGATGGATGCGGCCTCCCCGTGTCATTGCTGATACTCTTTCCGTAGTTTTCCGTTCATAGGAGGGCGGGGGGTTGAGGAAGTCTGCTTTTTCAGTCTGCGCCTTTCCTGCCTGACGCTGTCCATGTTGACTCGCTGTCTGCTAAATGGAGATTTCTGGACATTCTTCTGTTATCAAAATCAGATGTTCCTCTGCGGAGGACCCCAGGGCAGTGTCTGTTTCTCACAGAGGCAGCCAGCAGCCCTTTTGTAGTTGTGTAGTTGTGTATTTGTGTGTGTATTAGTGTGTGTGTGGTTGCGTGCAAGCGCTCTCTCACTACATTTGTTTCTGTGTTCGTATTCATGCGTGCATATTCAAATTTCTGCATTTCAAAGCAGGTACACGTGCATGCTGTGTGCTGACGGAGTCTCTATTAGTGTGTGTGTTTGTGTGTTTGTGTGTTTGTGTGTTTGTGTGTGTCATGTTGGTGGTATTTCCCCAGAGCCCCTTGCTATGCAGGGCAGCTTCTTCATCCATCCTGCTTTGACAGCTCAGCGGCACCCCCCGGGGGGCTCCCACCACACACAGCACAGTAGGAGCACGCATGTGTGCACGTGCACGGCTACGCTTGTGTGACAACCATGACTACTGCACTGTGTGAGCCTCCACACACACACACACAAACCACATAAGCACAAATATGGTCACGCACCACTAACTTTGACCTGAATGGAATGTCAACATCCATATAATGCTAATGAGAAAGCGTTTTTTTCCCCAGTATTTAGCATTTAAACGTAACCCACAAAGATGCAGCAGCAGCAGCACAAGAACAACACTCAGCATGCACGCACTGCTCAACGTAGCACGCTCACCCACCAATCCTCTGTAGCCCATTTCTGACAAGCCTCTGCATTCCCAG